TGAAGGTTTCTTTTGATTTATATTTTACCCGAATGAAATTTGCTTTTAATCCTTCTAACAAAAACTTAATCGTCTAGAAAGCTTGAAAATTCTTGAAGCTTGACTGACTAATATCTTTTTTTTATATTAAATCATTGATTCATATTTTTAAATTTTATGTACATATATTTTATTTGAATATTCATGAAAAATAATAAGACCGAATTAATAAAAATTCTACAATAAATATCACCTCTTGTTATATGTATATTTCTAAAATTTTAATATTAATTGAAAACATTTTTTTTTTTATTTTAATTAAAAGTGTGCGATACAGTGTTTGATATTAAAATTTCGAATTGACAAGATTATATTTGTTAATTCAAATAATAAAACTTACTTTAATCCATTTGCACCGTTAACTTCTAAATGAATTTAATAACTTATTTAATAATATAATTTATGTTTAATCAATGATTTTTTTCTCTAAGCCTCAATACGTTTGTCTATCGATCCTCGTCCTAATACACTTACACGACTTTCAATTATTTTACAGAAATCAAGTAAAGGTGGCAAAGAACAATCAAGCCCAGTCAAGGTAGAGAGAAAACTAAACTGCCTTAATAATCTTGACATATAATTAAAAATTTTATGTATGCTTCTTAGAAAATTTATTAATTTTGTTTATTATGACAGCTTTAAATTTAATTTTAATTAAGAATAATTACATACCAACTGCTTGTAAAAATATTTATTGCTCATTTATTATTCTATTTATATTAAAAATAGAAACGCAACTACTCTACATTTCTTCATTATATATTTATTTGAATTATTTATATCAATAATTTTGACTTCGAAAAAAGTGTACAATATTTTATAATAAGAGTAAAATTAATGTTGGTTTATAATATTTCTTATTTATATGAAAAATTATTTTTTTACTTATTTTAACCCTTTATTTCTTAATTATCTTATTACCGTAATATAAATAAAATCTATGTATCTTGTTGAATATATATATATATATATATATATATATATATATATTTATTCAACTGATATTCTTATTTAAAAGCAGATATCTTTGTTGATCGTAGAATATAATTTTCATTTTTTTATTTTACAGCCAACGATACTTTTGCAATAATTTTCAAAGATTCTGAAAGAGTATTCATTTGTATTAAATTTATATTTATTATTGCTTATATATTGAAAGAATTTTATATACTTATTATTTGTCAGTTTAAAATAAAAGTACGTTTAATACTTATCTTTTATAAATATTGAATTAACCAAAAGATTATTGTATATTCTACATGTACAGTTACTTTAATTTAAATAAGTCTGCATGAATTAATAAAGAATATATAATTTACATGTAATTCATAAAATAGGATACTCTTGTATTTAATATTATGTTTTGTATTTTTGAAGTCACTCGCGTAAATTAATATTATGATCACATTTTTACAATTTAAAAAAAAATATCGAGTGCATCTTTTGCTTGCATTTTTAATTATTTTCAAGAATTATTTTGTTATTATGCGTTTTATAAAACAAAACAGCAACGGCAAAAACGTAATAGGTCATATTATTACGATGTGATTTTTTATGTAAAAATCAATGTATTACAATGGTGACATTTCTATAAATTTTTCACAGTGCAAATTTATAGAACGTTTCGCCGTATTGGTTGAACGCAATGTAGAAGTTAAATAACTTTTTGTATACAATTAAATACACATAAAAATTTATATATTCTTTAGTCTTTCTTTGAATAAATAGTGAATTTTTGCGTTTAATTTATTATTACATTAAAAAATTATTTATAAAAGTCTAAAACCATTATAAAAATATATTCTTTGAAAGTAACAATGAGAACTAAAGGGTTAACATTCGCTTCAAATAAATATATATAGGCATTGCTTTTTTAGGTGCACACTGAAAGGGATGTAAAATCTGATGTTTGTTTTACATAAATACTTTTAAAAAATAATAAATATTTTCACTTCAAGATTAATAGTAGTTTATTAAGGGTTTCACTTCTAATAGCATACTGTTATTTTTAATAAAATTTATATATCAAGCGTCAATAATTTCCAGATAATAATCAATTTTATTTTGCAAGTTTAATATATCGATAAATGCTATATTTAATACAAAATTTTATTATATATATCTGATATATAAATCCAATGATGAGTAATTTCAATACAAATGATTTAAATATTTATCAAAATATCAGGTACCAATCTCTTTTTTGTGCAACTAATATAATGTGGTATTGTATGCAATTTTATGTGATGAACTTGATGTTTGAAAAATTGCATTTTTTAAATTAGTACTTGTTATCAATGATTATTTATTTATATATTTGTCTTCGATATTTCTTAATACATAGACATGTTTAATCAAATTTGTCTATAACAAAATGATTTATTTTTTACTTCTTAAACAGTAAATTGTATTACGCCATTATGATTGTCGGATGATAGATTTCAGAAAATCATTTAAATTTGATAATCTATAATTAATATTTTTTCTTATAAATACATTTTTTTGGACAAATGGCAACAGAGTTTTACTATATATATATATGCATTGATTTATACGAATGAAATATTCATTTAGTTTTTACTAGCAAAGTAACACTTTTACATCTTATTAACTATGCAATTAGTATTCAAATATTGAGAATAAGACAAAATGTCTTTAATTTGTTATATATTTAATATATTTATTAAATAAACATATAAAATATAAATCTTATAAAATGTTTCTTTTTTTTTTACATGTTTGAATAATTTATTTTTATTATAAATTTAATTTTTACTGCTTAAAATAAAAATCAAAAAAATTGAATGAATTTAGGAAATAATTTATAAATAAATGCAAGGATTGTTAACGTTATTTTCAAATTGTCGTCACACATTTTTAATACAAACTGTTGAATGTATTTATTGCCGATGAAATGCAAATTTTCTTCATTATTTGAAATTTTGTTAAGATACATATATAAATAAAGTACAATTAAATGATATTGCGAAAGCACACAACATACGTAAATGAGATATCTTTCAGAAAAAGCTTTTCTGTATCAATTCTGGTCAACGGCGCGGACGACGAGGAATGAAGAAGGTGCCCTCGGTGACTTTGACACAATTTTTTTTTCAAACATTCTTACTCCATACCAACAATTAATCACACTTCCCAATAACTTTCATGAAAAACATGTTGTGTAAAAAAAAGTATTTTTTTATGATATAATAATTACATTTAAGAGCCGAATAGTTTTACGGGCCTCTATCAATATCTATTATTATCGTAAGAAAATATTGTTTTATTAATACACACGTACTTTGTTATTCTTTTTGTTGTTGTAAATTGTCTGTCTCAATCAATAGGTGAGTTGCATGATGCTCATGTAATATGTATCGTTATCATTTATGATTTGCTACTAATGCTTATTAATTTATGATAATTATATTGATAATAAATTTATTAAATTTTTAAAATTTTCAATAGGTATGTCTATAAAGTTGTTAGATTTATACACTAAATGAAAATATTAATTAAGAACGTTTTGTGAAATAAATACATTTATTGAATTATTAAGCACTTTTAATTCTAAACACATCAATGTTGCAAAGGTTTAACAAACATTTCTTTTTCTTAATATATCAAATGGTTCCGAAATATTTTAGTCAAGTATATAATACGTAATACGTAAGATTGGACAATGATAACAATAATATTTATTTTATAATTTAAAAATAAAGCGCAGCTTTAAAAATCTAATATATAATAATGTAATATACGATCTCCTTATCACAATATTAATCATATTAATAACTAACAATTTGTTAAAATTGCATAAATCGATTAGGGGATCTCCTTTCATTATAAACCATAAAATTCATTGGAAATTCGTGGAAGTATCATGGCTTGTCCAGTTACATACGATTAATAAAATTATATGTGCACGTAATTGAAAAATAAGTTGGATGCTTCCAGAAATCATTAAAGGGCCGTTTATGATTTCAGAGCTCGGAGGATCATTTGAACGTACTTTATCACCCGGAGACATTCAAAGGACCAATTCTATTTTCATTTAAATCTAAGGTTTTCTTTGGCAAGAAAAAAGCGATGATTAGGATTGAGAATGGCGAGTGGTCCGATAAGTTTTCCATCGATGTGGCTGGCAGTAAGGGCGTCGTATCTTGCAAGTACAATGGAAAAATTTATCAAGTATGTGTATTCGGCTATGCCTTAAAATAAGTCCTACTTCATTATTAAAGAAACATTAAATATGAAATGATAGTTGACTATATAGCGCAAGGTTGATGATTAGGGTAAGGTAATGATGCGATTAAGATGAGCAAAAAGTAATCTTACCGATTTATTATTTTTCAGATTGGAGTACATAATCAGTTGACCTACAATTCGTTGACAAAGCAAATAACTTTTACACCTTATTTTGTCTTAATTAATAATGCCGATTTTATTATCGAGTGTCAAGAAGCCGAACGTTCAGCCGATCAAATTATTCAGGTTCGTCAATTTTCATCATTTAAATTTTGAAAAACTAATCGTTTGCTGTGTTATAGACTTGTTGTAGGTTTAATAAAAGCTTGTTTACACGAAGCTCGATCTTTATATATATATATATATATATATATATTAAATTTTATAGTTTTAATTTATTTGATAAACAATTATTAAAATTCTGATATTTTTTAAACATAAAAAGTTCCATTTTAATAAATATATTGCATAAACCCAAAATCGGGTGTCCGTAATATGAATTACGATTCACAACCTACTTGAGCTATTTTATAAATAAATTATTCTTTTCGTAGGAAGAATAATTAGGTAAAAAATTTGATTTTTTTATTATAGGTTCCACCTGGCGAATGCACTGCACTTTGGCCTAACACAGAACAGGAGGTAAAAACTCTAAAGGCTAAAGTCGCCGGCTATTCCGAGAAAACTTCGGCTTTCATATATACGGATGTCCATAGTACTCTATTGAGACTCGACAATAAGGTTTGTAATTTTATTTTGGACTCATATTTTGATATTTCCCATTAGTGTTTTAAAAATACTTCTCATACCTTTCGTAAAGATTTAAGTTATTTTTCATTTTCTACTTCGATGAAAGTAATTATAAAGCAAATTAATCTAAAATTTAAATTAAAATGTTACTTCGATAGTTCGGCGGTATCAACGTTGACGTACAAATTAACGAAGGTGGAGTTTACATATCGTTTTCAGCTTATACTTATGGAAATGCTCTAGCTTTAATAATAAATCATACGCCTTATCCTATTAATATTTGGGAGAAGGGATCCCTAAATATCAGGTAAAAACATTAAGAATTAATGATTTACTTTATATTGAAATAATCTGATTATTTATTTTAGAACCTTACAATCTTATAATCGAATGTTTTATACCTGGGAAAATCCAGCAGGGCCAAGACTTATAATGTGGGATGCTGGAAATAAAAAAGATATTTCAGATACACTTCGTAAAGTGCGTTAAAAATCTTTTTTTAATATTATTTATACATTAATTACGTTAAGTAATACCACTTTTATTAATTTTTTTATTATTATTATTTAACATATTAAATTAAACACTACTTTAACATTTTAAATAACACTATTTTTTTTAATATGATAATATTTGAGCAAAAAAATATTGTTAATTTATAGTATCCATAGAATAATTCAAATTAAAAATATGTTTAAAAGGATAACTTGGGAGCCTTCACGATACCTGATTATAACGAAGAAGCTTATTACGTCTCTTTCTTAGATGGTATACAGCGAGTATTACTTTTTACGTCGAATTTAAAAATCGCTCAAGATTGTCAGTTTGTGGGTGATCTTGAGATTATAGACCAAGATATCACCATAAGTATTCATGGTGTCGGATTATCACTGGTTAATAACATTAATAAGTCTGAACTTCTATATATGTGTATTGCTAGGTAAGTAGAATTAAGTTCTCTTTTACTTAATTGTTTAGTTGTTGTAAATACAATACAATTTGGATACAATTAGTAAAAAAAAATGTTGATTTCACTAATAAAATTGAATATAAAATGACAATTATTAATTTCCAATTCAATCAATAAATAGTATTTTCTATTAAATAATAATTCCCGGTGATAATTAACCTATAATTGTTACTTATACGGATGCTTAATCAAATTTACTAGTCCAAGAATTGTTATTTAATGTAATAATGTATCAACAAGAACTGTATTCTTTCTTTTTCTCTTTGTTACCAGTTACTACGTTGCTCCTCTTAATGCCTACACTACTACATAGATCTAAAATTTCGTAAACAACACTCAATATAATATTCTTATATATTACGCATTTATTACTATGCTCGTGAACCATATACAAATTTATTTTTATAAAAATTATTAATTATTAATATATAACAATTAATTGTTACAATTATAATATTGTAATTGTAAATATTTCACTTATTAATCGTAAAAATACTTTTGAAGTAATTGTCTATTTCATAATACCGCTTTATAGAATATATTTTTTCTAAATATTTATTTGACAGATTAAGATTAATAATTCTCTTTTTATTATTTTGTTTTTTAGATAATATTAATTTCTAATCAAGGTTGAATATATTTCACTTATAGTTAATACATAATACATAAAAATTTTCATTTTAGCTCCGGAGTAATTTGGGAAAATCGTAAGTTCGTAAATAGTGGATGGCGTGGTTTAAATGAACGAGAAGTTTGTCTTATTGAAGAAGGATACCAAAAATATATAAAGGAGCTTCAAATAGATAAAGAAACGCACTATCGCATTATGCTAGATCCTAAATTAGAGGTACGAATTAATAGAAATATTAATTTCAGGTTGTAATGTTATAATTTAACGAGCCGTCATAATTAATCATAATTTTAGGTCGATTATTTGAACATGGAAATGTTAAAACCTCATCGGCGTTACATACGTCGCACTTTTCAAACTGGCCTTTGGTTACAATATCGAACGTCTGCGCATCAAGTGCAATTACATGCAAAAATTAACAGACTTCAAATAGATAATCAACTCTCGGATTGTATTTTCCCGGTTATTTTAGCTCCCGTACCACCGCCGAAAAGTATATCACAAAGTTCAGGTAATTATCGTTTATTTTTGCAGTATAATGAAATTATACTTGGAAAATTATAATAATATTTATCAAATATTGATGTAACATATAAAATACTATCAAACTTATTTTTATTTAAATATATATATATATATATATATATATATATATATATATATATATGTGCGTATGTGTGTGTTAACAATGCTTTTGTTAGAAGTAATGAAACCGTTTGCTGAGTTGAGTATGGTAAAACGTTTGTTGGAACACAGCAATGTACAGCAATTCCGATACTTTAAAGTTCTTATTCAGGAATTCCACGTGAAAGTAGATTTAGCATTTATGAATGCTTTGATGCTACTTTTTGAAGCTGATGAAGCAAACGAAACTCAAGAGGTAAATTTAATGTATTATTATTTCATACGTCTCTATCAACAGAATTAATTCTAATATAATTTTTTATGTATTATTTTATAAAAATGTCAATCTTAATATTTTAACTCGAAATTGAATTAAAAACGTCTTATGTTTTAATTACTTATTTATAATTTATTTCACTAGTTTTAATCAAATGAATATAAAATATAATGTACAGGGTCAATTGTTTAAAGTTGATATGAAATTGGTGAATGAACCACTTTTGCATCATGTTAATTTAATAACTGTTGCGGAGCAGAAAAATTTCTTTGATTTACTACATTTCTCGCCATTAAAGGTTTGTCAAATATTTCTTATTATATAGAATTGCATTAGTTTTTCTAGACTAAATATTCTAAAATACAAAATCATTGCATTTAATTCAGATTCATATAAGCTTCTCTATGACTGGTAGTGGCAGTGGACCTTCTGCAGTTCCACAAGTTGTCAATGTTTTACTTCAAGGCATTGGTGTTACGATAACAGATATAAATGATATCGTTTTCAAGTATGTATTTGTTTATTATTTTTAACTATCAAAATACTAACCTCGTGTATCGTAATATTATATAATAAATAATATGTACTTTAATAAAGTTTTATCCATTTTTCTCATTTAGACTAGGCTATTTTGAAAGAGATTACGTATTTATGACCCACAAACAACTAATTTCCGAGGCTACCAGTCACTATGCTGGCCAAGCGATCAAACAACTTTATGTTTTAGTCCTCGGTTTAGATGTTATTGGAAATCCTTATGGATTAGTCGTTGGTGCTATGAAAGGCGTTGAAGATCTTTTCTATGAACCTTTTCAAGGTTTTATACAAGGGCCTGGTGAATTCGCTGAGGGACTTTTACTAGGAGTACGAAGTATGTTTGGTCATACCGTTGGTGGAATGGCAGGAGCTGTATCAAAAATAACTGGAGCAATGGGTACGCATTAAATATAACTTATTATAAATTATAATTACAGCTCATTTAACAAAAATTAGTCAAATTATCAATTGAATATTATTTAATGCTATTTATTTATTTATTAATATATTTTTATTAAATATCTTTTATTTGAAGGTATAACATTAATTTATATTCAAAACTGTTTGTATAATAATAGGTAAGGGTCTTGCTGCTCTAACCTTCGATAAAGATTATCAACGCAAACGCCAAGAGCAAATCAATAAACAACCTGCAAATCTACAGGAAGGACTTGCAAGAAGCGGAAAAGGCTTAGTTATGGTATAAAATATTATATAAAATATTGAACATTTATAGTATATATATACTATATATTATAAGCGTAATAAATTGTTAAATTTGTAAATATTTCATAGAGATTTTATATTTATTTCAATTAATACGGTTATTTAAAACAGGGCGTAGTCGATGGTATTTCTGGAGTTGTTATGAAACCATATTCAGGTGCTAAACAAGAAGGTGTTGAAGGATTCTTTAAAGGTTTTGGAAAAGGGGTAGTTGGTTTGGTTACAAGACCAACTGCTGGAATTGTTGACTTTGCAAGCGGCTCCCTAGGAGCAGTACGGAGGTATATTATTTATAATTAGATAAAAAATTGTAATAATTATCATTAAATGTTTTTCGTACGTTTTGTTATTATTTTTTTTTCATTATTATTTTTAGAGCAACCGATTTAATTGTTGAAGTTAAGAGAGTTCGACCTCCAAGATTTTTACAACCTGATAGCTTAGTACGACCATACATACGCGATGATGCGGAAGGCAATAAGATTCTTGTTGTGAGTAGAACCATTACCATTTACTATATTTATATTTTATATTTAGTGACTTTTAAGAGCTTATGATATTTCGATTTAGCAAAGGTGCAATTGTCTTAAATATTTTTATAAAATATATCATTAAATAAACAAAAAAAAAATGTTTTTCTTAGGAACTCGAAAAAGGAAGATATGCAAACACCGATATTTATAATTTGCACATGTATATAAATAAAGATGTCTTATTACTAACCGATAAAAGAATTGCATATTTAGAGAGATGCGATTTATTTGGGGGATGGAAGGTTAGTCATTTTTGTTAATTTTACTTCATAAGTATAGAAAATTGTAATATTAAAAACAATGCGTTTTCATAATTTTCAAGGTTGATTGGTCGTATACTTGGCAAGAAATTGATCCACCGCCCGTAATGGTCGATAAAGGAGTACAAATTAGTATAAAAGATACTCAAAAGAAAAGAAAACTTGGAGGATTATTTAGTAATATGGATACATTAAAAATCTTTTTAATACCAGATTTACAATCAAAGCAGGTAATTTGTTTAATAATAACAATAAACAAAAAAAGAAGTAACGAATTAACATTGTAAAATGAATTTTTATGTTCATTAATGAAAGTTAATAATTTGTAATAAATTCATGATTGTTGATTTCAGTTACTGTACAGCAAAATACAAGAACAACTTCGCCAATATGAATCGCTAGGATAATTAGACCAATAAATTTATAAGACACGATAAGATAGAGAAAATAAAATTTGTCTATCAAAAAGGAAAATCTCTTTTTACAATTGCTGAAGCATAAAATATCGCATTCACTTAACGAAGACTGATAACACGCTTCACGTAAAAACGAGGATAGCCGAGGAAAAAATAAGCTCCAATAAACTATAAAAGAAAGTATTCTTCCTACCTCGACTAAATAGAGAAGCTAAAAATATTGTGATTTCAATAAATCGTATAAACCGGAAATAGCTTTTACACAAGTTAAATAAAAATACTAAGGAACTACTACAGCAGCATAGTTGTTGACCAAACAATTAATACGTAGTTATCTTAAACATATTTTGTCAGATGCACCAATTTTTTATTTTTTGATTTATTAACTTTTCTAGGTAAATCCGCTCTGTGCCCGGTTATATGTTAATTACCGAGATGTAAATGATAATTTCTTGCGAATCCCATTTATTATTACATATAATAAATATATATATATATATATATGTATATATATATATATATATACAAAACGGTGATATTGAAGAACTTTACATATAGTCTTCATGGCCTCAACAGCTACATTCGTTAAAACGAAAATAAAACAATGTGATTCTTCCATGCAAGTGTAAACTTTTTTTACAAAGAGTACAATATAAATTTATAATTTTTAAAATAGAATAACTACTTAAGGAGTATATAAATTTAATTTTAAGATAATTGACAATATTTGTTTTTAAATATAACAATTTTTATATTAATGATAATGAAAATTTCTCAATTATATCGACTACATAAGCTTAATATCCATTATGTTGTACAATATCAAATTTTAATAAATCTTTAAGTTTTTAAAGATTATACATTATCAAAGATATCATGGAAGATCATTCGTTGTTGAATGATGTTAGTTTAAAAAAAATAATATGCTGATTTTTTAGATACTACGAAAAAGCTACTAATGTCAAAACTGAGAAAATTGTATCTAAACATCAATTCTATGTAAATGTTCTCCACAAATGTAGTTACATTTATTCGTTATCAGTCGTTTTTCTTTATCTGTATTTAAAATAAAAATAGGTCATAATATGAATACAGTCTTTTATATTATTTTGCAAGATTCTATTAAAAACAGAGAGCATTTTATAGAGCCTTAAAAGTATTTATTTTGCGGTTTATTATCGAAATGTTAGTAAAATGAAAAATATTTATTATGTACGTGTAAAACACTGAAAGAATAAGTTGATGCGATGCTGTACGATTTATAATTAATATAATTGTGAGACTATATATTTTTGTTTGCTGTGTCTCATATTGTAAACTTTACAAATAAATAGACACTGATGATTAAATTTAAGATTTATTATTTCATATATGATATCCTACGAATATGATTCCAGCTTGTATATATATATATATATATATGTGTGTGTGTGTGTGTGTGTGTGTGTGGGCTCACGCGAGTGATTAAATTATTATATTTAATATAAAATTATATTTAAAAGTATAAAATAAAAATTTTAATAAAGTTTTTATTCAATTATTAAGTATTTTTAAAATGTTTAATAATAAATATATTTCAATTTTATTGTATAAATTTTTGATGCTCTCGAAATTCAATCCAAATTTAGAATTTAAATAAAATTTTGCTCGAAATTGCAAGAACCCAACTTCCCAAGTCGTTAAATATCTGGAAAACCCAGGTCATTAGACATCTGGAAATAGTCGTTACACCAAAAAATAAAAATCTAACGGTACACAGCGCATCCACTGTTGTCAAGTCTAGCCATACTGTCGCTTGGATCGGCAAAGGGGGACGCTTCAATCAAGGTCCTCTTGACGGGAAAGCCACTAGAAGACTACTCCTTCTGATTGAAAGCGCTGCCGCTAGGGGCGCTCCAACTAGAGACGCCGTAGCCAAGGAAGTAAACGTTCCGTAAGTGGACGTCGTGGTTAGCGGAATGCTTTTAAGGGAGACGACCACAAGAGAGAATTCACTCAAGCTGGAGTCGTCAAGGAAGAATGATGTAGTAGTAATTTACAATCAAGCGCACTACATCAAGAGGATCTGGAGATTTACCATCTCCTACCTTTGTATGTAGTGCATGCTAACACCACGTGGTAACCACCACGGAACTGCAAGATCTCAACGATTATCATCATCAACATAGAATCATTATAGTGTTGTTTGTAAAATAAAAGGTAATAAACAGCACGCAAAGCAGATGTGCTAAATATTCAATTAATGCGCTTCCACTCCCACTTCCCTTCACTTTTCTTGGACCAGTAAACTGGTGGACTTAGTCTATTTTACCTATAATATCGTACGGCTCCTTGAGATTTCTTACTTTCTTTGTTGTTCTCTTTTTTCGCGAATGAAGTCGGTTTGGGCTCAGGCATTGAGATTACTTAGGATAATGTTGCGTTTACCTTTGAAACGGCTTTGTCTTTGAAGTATGCTCGGTGAACTGGCTCTTGTCATATGCTGAGTTCTGCATATTCGTTCATGAAGTTTCGTAGTGCTCACGATAGATTCCATCTTTTGATAATTGTTCTATTAAGCATAGTAGATATTGATGAGCCTTGTAGTAGGAATTGCCGAGGACGTCTTTTGACTGCTTGAGTGGGGTAATTTGTTGATGGTTATATGCACGTTTGAATAAATATCAAGTATTTCACTGTGTACATTGTTCATTAGGTATGTGTGAGTAATACCCCAGGCCTAGTTTGTTCCATGTAATTATGCTCCTTTGTGAATGCCTTGTCCATTATCATCCATTAGTCCCTTGATACCTACGATTTCTTCTAAGAACGTTTTTGAATGGGACGATGGGAGTTCCAAAGCTAGTTTTTTTATTGCTGTAATACGGCTGCACTGACCTTGAGCCTTGACAATGAGTTCTATTATATTACTATCCTCGTACCACTTCGGGTAATACGATTGTTACTTTCTTGTGAGATCGATGAATCAGCACCTTTCCCTTGACTTATTTCATCTCATGGTGTGACATCTCAACATTAATGCAGTATTAGAGAAGAACAATAATAAAATACTTGCTGGAGATTCGTGAATGATTTGTGACATAAATGCCGTATGTCCTTATGATTAGAACTTCCAATATATAATCTGAGTATAGCTGTGCCTACTGGATTTGTATTAATACTGAACAAATGCACTAATGTCCACTTATTCGGCTCGAAGGACCAAAATGCCTAAAAATAGAGTACCGGGCGAGGAGGGCCAAATATCTAAAGTTAAATGTAAACTCCAGATGGTTGATGGGAGGATTGCGGGAAAGTGGACAGGATAGTCCATGTATTCAATAATTAATATTGTTCGGGATTGATGCAGTTCCATGAATTTCAAACAAAAGAAAGGTCATATACGCAGTCCGGCGTACCGCATGTGCGCCTAGACTGACCGCGCGTGCAGCAAGGTTGACCATCACGTGCGCCTAGGCTGATCCGCAAGTGCGGACCGAGGCGGGTACTCGAGCAAAATGTTTACAAACAAAACTCGGCAAGTCCGAGCAAGTTTACGAGTTGAAATATAATTTACTGCCAGCACTCACAATAAAGGGACGCCTGCGAAACTTCTAGAAGCTTCGTTTTCTCACGCCAAAGGAAAATTTCTGGAAGGGACGCGCATCGACACTGTTGCCGGCGCTGAAGATGCCGCATGCACATTTAAACGCAATGTGCCATGAGCCGAGGTTCATTCGTAAAATCACTCTGCTCTCAATCAAGCGTAACTGCCGGTCAGTGCATAGTATACTGTAAAGACGCCGCGTGGCCACATTTTCGGTAACATAGGCTCATTCGTAAAATCACTTCGCTCTCCATCAAGCGTAACTGCCGGTCAGTGCAAGAATACTGTAAAGACGCCGCGTAGCCATATTTTCGGCAACATAGTAAAGAGTACCCGCGTGCATAGAAACGATAATTGGCAGTTTTTTAATAAGTGATTACAGTGAGGCCAATGGAATTGTAATCAAGGGGAACATTACCTACACAGCATCGAATACATCAAACCTGCAGTTCACCAGGTACATATTTATATTAATAAATAAACAAGTCACATCTCGCGCTATTGTCGATCGGGCACACTTACGCTCTCTCGAACTAACCCTCGACATCGTACAGGCCCTGAACAGCTGACTCAAGAGTCACTGTGGTTCACACACATTGGTTACACAAGAGCAACATAGATCGACTAATAGACTCTATAAATACAGATTGTTAAATCCTTCACGAATTAGAAATCTTACCTTTAATTGTTTTTACCTGTGACTAGATTCTACTGCTGTCCCTTGTACATAATCAAAGACATAATCGATTACATAATAAATTCCATTTAAGATCTAACAACTCATCAAGTATAGCTATTCATCAATCAAGCATACTTGATTCAACTACCATCTTCTCATGCTGCCTCACAAGCATGATTGACTGACGACATCAGCTGACATTGACAACATCAGCATAACCTCAAAGCAACACAGTAATATCAATAGAAGCCTTCATAGCATAAGAATTACAAAAACACATCAATTGAATAATCCAACAGAATTATTTATTTCTACACAACAGTGCAATATTATAATAATTGTTTTACAATCATTAACCATCTTGTTTTAATAAATATATTATATTTTTCAGCCTTGTCTGTTATTGATTTCCTTTAAAATTATCCTGCCGAGAGACTAATCCACTGAACTATTGAATTGGCAGTTCGAGCCATAAGCTAACCCTTTAAAATCGAACAAATATTTTATTTATTGGTATTTATTGCTGTCATCCCGTTAAATTACACTATAATAATTCTAAGTGTTGATAATGGATTTTTATCTGTCTTACTGTTCCTTTATGGCTGCCACGGAGTGGTAATGTGCGTTGCACGTACAGGTAGATGGTCGTAACTTTTCTGGTCTTCTATATGTATAAACCGCCCACCATGCAGAGGTTCTTCAATTGGAGGTCCGCACTCCCGAAGATGTCCTCAACATATCTTCCATGAATGATGGTAGGCACAGCAAGAGCATACTTTTCTCCCTCATCTTCCACTAGTTGCAATAGCGATCTGACTGCCAGGAAGGGTGCAGCTTGTGTTCCATAAGTAACCGTTGTCAATTGATAGTTGTTCAAAAAATAATTCCAAAAATCTGACTCGTCAGCCAAACGTGCAAAATCAACTTAGAACAAAAAAAAACACTAGAGATGTTGTGTGGGAAATGCTGGACAAGTAAAGACAAAATATGCTTAA